ATGTTCATGTCATCGGAGTCCTGGAAGAGAGGAGAAATAAGGCATGACTGAAGAACTACTCCAAGAAATAATTGCTGAAAACTTCCTAAATTTGGTAAAAGAGAGGTCTACAGATTCAAGAAGCTGAGTGTTTATCTGGGAATGTGTTTATTCTTCCTTCGTTTTTAGATTTTATTTTTATTTTTTTTATTTTTTATTTTTCCTTATCCCCAAAAGCCCCCCAGTACAAAATTGTATATTTTAGTTATGGGTCCTTCTAGTTGTGGCATGTGGGACACCACCTCAGCATGGCCTGATGAGTGATGCCATGTTTGCACCCAGGATCTGAACCGGCAAAACCCTGGACCACCGAAGTGGAGTGTGGGAACTTAACCACTTGGCCACGGGCCAGCCCCAATTTTTTAGATTTTATTGTTTTTTATTCTTCCTTCTTTTTTTTTTTTTTGAGGCAGATTAGCCCTGAGCTAACATCTGCCACCAATCCTCCTCTTTTTGCTGAGGAAGACTGGCCCTGAGCTAACATCCATGCCCGTCTTCCTCTACTTTCTATGTGGGACGCCTACCACAGCATGGCTTGACAAGCGGTGCCGTGCCCACACCCGGGATCTGAACCGGCGAACCCTGGGCCGCTGGAGCAGAACACGCGCACTTAACCACTGTGCCACCAGGCTGGCCCCTCTTCCTTCATTTTTAAAAGATGGTTTTGCTGGGTGTAAAGTTCTTTTTTTTCTTTTTAAGATTTTATTTTTCCTTTTACTCCCAAAGCCCCCCAGTGCATAGTTATGTATTTTTAGTTGTGGCTCCTTCTAGTTGTGGCATGTGGCATGCCGCCTCAGCATGGCTTGATGAGCGGTGCCATGTCCACACCCAGGATCTGAACCGGTGAAACCCTGGGCCGCTGCAGCAGAGTGTGTGAACTTAACCACTCGGCCACGGGGCCAGCCCCCTCATTTAACTTCAATTACCTCCTTAAAGGACTTATCTCCAAATACAATCACATTGAGGGTTAGGACTTCAACATATAAATTTTGGGGAGGCACAATTCAGTCCATCACAACCCATAATGTCCAACAATGGGCAAAGAGATAGCCTCCGAGTAGTGGTTTGATAGAGAATTAGAACAGGCAATCGAAACATTTGTTGTCTGAAACTCAAGGAGATAAAGGCATGAAGGGCTGACTTAGACCTTCATAAGTGTGTGCTCACACTCAACACGGCGGGAAGCCAAGGAAGGGTCTCTAACAGATAGATTCCTTCACAGTTCAGAAGGATCCGGGAAAGAGGAAGTGGGAGAGGATGCTGGTATGACTGCATGGTTTCCCCCCACATCACCTCAACTTTCTTTTTTTCCCTACCTGATTCAGGGGTCCCAGGACCAGGGCTGCAACTGCAAGTGCTGGAAGCAGGGATGATCCCTAAGCAAGAAACTTTAACTGTAATTTTAAACATTTATGTCAGAATTTCTAAGGACCTAACGCGATAGATTGTGCCTTCACCTCGTCTGGAAAAATTGGTGTTGACAGTGAATGCAGCTGTGTTACCTGCTAGCTGACCTAGCCCACTAGTTCTATGCCTATGTAATGATACCCTCTATGAATGGGAGCGGACTGAAGGGGAAGCATGTGCTAGACTAGTATTGCTGCTGACAATCTGGACCAGCACAGTGGCAGAACCTATTATCCCTTCCAAAGATGGAAAAGTTTGGGTCAAATTCACTGATAAATGGAGAGGAGGAGGAATAGTGACTGAGAGTAAAAGAATGAGCAGGTTCCGCAACAAGGGAAATCCGTTACCTCGGTGCCCTGAGAAGCTCAGAGCAAGAGATGATATTGTCTCCTAACCCAGTTATACCAGATGCCTGAAAGAATGAAGCCACATGTTGCCAAGACTACTCCTACTTTTGGAACCTGACAAGGTCAAACGGAAGCCTGCAAACCTGAGTTGTATTGCTTTGGGAGATGAACTGGACCAATTGTCGATGACTGAGTGGGACTCTACTAATGTGCTAGTTTCTTTTGAGTATTTTGTTTTATTTTGGAAAGAACACAACAGGAGATCTATCCTCTTAACAAAATTTTCAATGTGCAGTACATTATTGCTGACTATAGGTATGGTGTTGTATGTGGGTTACATTACTATCATACTATGATATGGCGTAACACTGGCATTGCTGCTAAGATTATATTTATATCGATGGTCAGATAGATCAGGAAATTGAGTTAAAGACTCTTCAGGACATAACACTGATGGAAAATTACTGGCTTGAGGAAGAAGTGGATTTAGCTAAGCTTCAGCTAATGTCTATGCTAAATAGTTCTGCACAAGTTTATCATAAGGTATAAATAGAGGTAGCTCAAACGGGAAGAGTAATCAAATTAGTATCAAAATATGAAAAGTGTATAATGGCTTTATAGGGTGGATTTGTTTTTTACTATTACTGTATGTCATATAAATGCTGTACTAAGAGTAGATGCCAAGACAAATACATTTTGCTGTGAAAGACCCTTCGCCCAAAGGCCAGGGTGGCCTGTGTAGTAAATACTTTAACCTTACCCAGAGAGAAGTCCGGCCTTTGCCTTCAGCTTCTTGGAGGTAATCTGAGCCCTTTGGACTGTCATGCTTGATGGAAATGTCTTTGTTTACCTGGGGGCCTTGTGCCATTCAGATAGTAACTATGTGATTTAGGGTGGGGGCTCAGAGCCACATCAACAGCATGATGAAATGTGGGGGCTTTGGGTCATGAGGCTCGGCCTCCCGAGGATTGGAAACTGAGATCAGCCATGTGAGCAGTCACCTGTGCCTACATGGTGGAGCCCCCCTGAAGGTTCTGGACACCAAGTCTCCGGTGCGTTTCCCTGGTGGGCAGCACTCCATGCTATTGTCACACATCAATGCCACAAGAGCAACGCTGTCTTGATTCCACGGGGAGAGGACAACGGGAAGCTCTGCATTTGTTACTTTCCTGGACTCTGCCCTCTGTGCTTCTTCCCTTGGCTGATTTTAATCTCTATCCTTTTGCTGTAATCAAATGTAACTGTGAGTATAAGAGCTTTCAGTGGGTTCAGTGAGTCCATCTAGTGAATTATTAAAACTGAGCATGGTCTTGGAGACCGTTGAACTTGTAATTGGTGTCAGAAGTGAGGGCAGTCTTAGGTGGGGACTGTCCCCTCTAACTTCTGCACAAGATTAACATACAAACATCAATTGATTTTCTATATACTAGTAACTAACAATAAGAAATTGAAATTAAAACCCAATACCACCCAATAAAGTAGAAATAAGACACCAAGTCATATAACTTATAGTAATAACACCAAGTAAAATGCCATCAAAAATATGAAATGCTTAGGGAATAATTTGTCAGATGTGAAAGACCTGTACACTGAAAACTACAAAATATTGCTGAGAGAAATTAAATACTTAAAAAGATAGAGCGATATACCTTATTTATGGGTCAGAAAACTCAATATTAAGATTTCAATTCTTCCCGAATTGATCTATAGATTAGAACTAATCTCAATAAAAATCACAGCAGCTTTTTTGTTATTGAAATGGACAGATTTATTCTACAATTCACATGGAAGAGTAAAGGGCCTAGGATGGCCAAAACAACTCTGAAAAGAAACTTTATTGAGGTACAATTTACATTCCTTATTTAAATTTTACAGTTCAATGACTTTTTTTAAACAAAAGTTTATTCCTAAGTGTACAACAGGCTCCAAGACAACACTTCATTTTAGCTAGAGTTGGCAAGAGATGTTAGGGCAGGGGATCCAGATATTTAAACGGGAATGGAAGTAAGGATCACCTCGATGACCTTTATTAAATTTACCTAGTTGTGCAACCATCACCACAATCAGGTTCTAGAACATGTATGTCACCCCAATAAGATTCCTTGCACTAATTTACAGTTAATGATCGTTCACATTCTCACCCCCAGACAACCACTAATCTATGGATCGCTATAGATTTGACTTTTCTGGACATTTCATATAAATACAATGTACAAATACAATATTAGATCTTTTGTGTCACACTTCTTTCGCTTAGCAATATACCACGTTTTGTTTATCTATTTGCCAGTTGATGGACATTTTGAGTGTCTCTACTTTTTGCCTCATAGGAATCATCCTGTTAGAATATTCAAGTGCAAGTATTTGTGTGAACACGTTACATATCTTTTGGGTAGATAATAAGAGTGGCATTGCTGGCTCCTATGGTAAATTTATAATCAACTTTTAAGAAACTGCCAAGCTTTTCCAAATTGGCTATACCATTTTAATGTGTTCACACCAGGAATGTATGAAAGTTCCTGATTCTCCAAATCCTGGCCAACATTTGTTAGAATTGTTTTTTTTTATTATAGCCATTTTAGTGCATGTAAAGTGGTATTTCATTGTGTTTTAATTAGAATTTCTCTAAGGACTAATGACGTTGGGCATCTCTTCACGTGCTTATTTGTGTATCTTCTTTGGTGAAATGTCTCTTCAAATCTTTTGCCCATTTTAAACTGGGTAGTTTGTCTTGTTTTTATTGAGTTGTAAGAGTTCTTTATATATTCTGGATACAAGTCCTTTACCGGATATATGATTTACAAATGTTTTCTCCCAGCCGTGTTTTGTCTTTTCTTTTCCTAATGGTGTTTTTTGCAGCACAAACCTTTTTGGTTTTGATGAATTCGAATTTATCATTTTTTTCTTTATAGATCATGCTCTTGGTGTCCTATCGAAGAGTTCCTTGCCTAATACAAGGTCACAGAGATTTTCTCCTATGTTTTCTGCTAAAACTTTTATAATTTCAGGGGCTGGCCCCATGGCCGAGTGGTTAAGTTCGCGCGCTCCGCTGGAGGCGGCCCAGTGTTTCGTTGGTTCAAATCCTGGGCGCGGACATGGCACTGCTCATCCAACCACGCTGAGGCGGCGTCCCACATGCCACAACTAGAAGGACCCACAATGAAGAATATACAACTATGTACTGGGGGGCTTTGGGGAGAAAAAGGAAAAAATAAAATCTTAAAAAAAAATAAAGCTTTATTGAAAAAAAAACTTCTATAATTTCAGCTTTTACATTTATGTCTCTGTTCCATTTTGAGTTTTTATTATGGTGTGAAATAAGACTTAAATTCATCTTTTTGCATGCGGGATATCCAATTATCCTTGCACTAAATGTTGAAAAGACTTCTTTCTCCATTGAATTGCCTTCACATTTTTGCAAAAAAATATGTTTACTATGAGTAGGAGGGTTTATTCTTGGACTCTCTATTCTGTCCCATTGATCTATGTCTCTATTCCCATGCCAGTACCATACAGTCTTGATTACTGTAGTTTTATAATAATTTTGAATGTCCTCCCACTTGATTCTTCTTTGACAAATTCCTTTTTGCTATTCTTGGTCTTTTCTATTTCTATGTAAATTTTAAGATTAGCTTATCAATTTCTGGAGAAGAAAGCCTGCTGGAAAGTTGTATTGAATTTGTAGATCATGTGATTTTTCTTCTTTAGCCTGTTAATATGGTAGATTACCTTGACTGAGTTTTGAATGTTGGAGCAACCTTGCATCACTGGAATAAACCCGACTTAGTCATGATGTATAATCTCTTTATATGTTGCTGGATTAAGTTTGCTAATATTTTGTTGAAGGTTTTTATGTCTATATTCATGAGGAGTGTTGATCTATAGGTTTCTTTTCTTGTGCTGTGTTTGTATGCCTTAAGTATCTGAGTAAGACTGGCCTTATAGAGTTGAAGAGTGTTCCTTCCTCCTCTATTTTCTAAAAGATTTTGTGGAGTGCTGATATTATTTTCCCTGTCACTGTTTAATGCAATTAACCAGTTAAACTATCTGGCTTTGGGCATTTCTTGTGCGGGAAGATTTAACTTACTAATTGCTTACTATTGCTGGTAGGATGTAAAATGAAGCAGCCATGTGAGGACCATGCCTCGGTCTCCGATTTCAGATATCAGTAAAATGTGTTGGGGAGATACTACAGTGGGATTGGAGGGCAAAGAAATACAAATTAACACCACACTAAGATATCACTGTACACCAACTATAATGGCTAAAGTAAAAAAGATGGAAAATACCAAGTGTTGACAAAGATGTGGAGCAACTAGAACTCGTATACTGTGCTTGTGGGAGTATACATTGGTACAGCCATTTTGGAAAACTAGTTTTATAAACTAAAGCTGAGCATATGGATACCCTATGACCTGGCAATTCAACTCCTAGGTAAATACCTAATAGAAATTCATAAATATGTTCACCAATAGATAGGTACTAAAATATTTATAGCAGCACTATTCCTAGTAGCCCCAAGCTGCAAACAACCCACATGTCCATCACCAGTAGAACGGATAAATATATTGTAGCATATTTACACAATGCAATATAACATGACAACGAGAATGAACTATCTACAACTACATTCAACAACATGGATGAATCGCCCATTCATAATGTGAATGAAAGAAGATAGACAATAAAGAGTATATTACTAAAATATGAAATACAATTGTTTGACTCAATTTATATAAAATTCCAAACAGACAAAACTAACTGATGCTGGTAGATGTTGGGAGAGTGTTTGCCCTTGGGGGGCTGGGAGGCTGGTAAGGCCTAGAAAGGAGCACAGGGAGTGCTTCCGGGGTGCTGGTCATGTTCTGTTTCTTGATCTATGTTCAGTTTATTAGAATTCACTGAACTCTATGCTTATGATATATGCATTTTCTGTATGCATTACACTTTAATAAAAAGGTTTAAAAATAAAATAAATTTGCATGCTTCAAAGAAAGCCCCTTTTCTTATGATTATTGTAAAAAACATTTAAGGGAAAATGAGAAAGTGTCTATATATCAGTGCTTAAAAAAAAGTAGTGCTCTTTCTGGAGAAGTCTTCCAGTTATTCACCTATAATAAACTATAATTATATCTTAGACTAACCAACTACAATGCAACATGACTTTACCTCATAGCGTTCTACACAAAACACGTGTGTGCAGAAAACGAATATATCTTAACCAAATTGGAAGAAAAACAAAATCACACTTTCATGTATTGAAACCCAATTTCTCAACCTTTCTTTTTCAAACAGGAATCCCAAAGAAAGCAGAGGCTTCAGTGGACGAGACTGGAAGTCCAGAGTGCTGTGGCTCAGTTCTGTTGTCTTAGGGTCAGGTACTAAGGGGATGAGAAGTCTATGGCCTGTGGCTAACAAATAAATGATAGCATTTAACATAAATAAATGATAGGTACAGGTTGGAAGGCATGCATACCTTTTTTCAGGTGTGAATCACCTGCTGCCACAGCATGGACTTAATGAGGGAACAGTTGCCACCTTTAGGTATCCGTAACGTTTAATAACTACATTCCTGTAACACAGGCTACAGTTATGCCTAATTGGCCAATGCATAAAGTCAGACTTTAAGTTAGAAATTATATTTCATTAAAAAAAGTATACCATGGTGACTTCTCAGAGGGAAGAGAGAGAACAGTTTCTCATGGCAGTCTTTTCCGTGTCTTAAATGTCAATGGTCACAAGAACTTCTGGCTTCTACTCACAGATCTGAATTCCCAAATAGATTTGTGCCTTGACTTCAGTGCCCTGCAGGTATTTGGACCATTAAAACTCTTCTCCCCACCCTAGAAATTTGAAAAACCTTTGCCAATATTGAGTACTTTTACATCTCAGGGTACGAAGAAAGTCCTTTATTCAAAAAGTAACACATAGGAGATTACAAGTCATCTCCTGGGGTCTCGATTTCTACCATTTGTGTCCCTGTATGAATGATGAAACCAAAGAGGACTATTGCTCAAATGCTTTATCGAAGCGTCTTCCTACACATGTCCTTGCATATCAACTGTGGTGATGTGGGTACTTGTATTTCCGATTGACTGAAGGATACTTGGCGTTGTTTGCCTTCTGTTCATTTAAGCTGTAGTCTGTCATGTCTGCTTCCCCCTGCCAGTGATTGCAGCATCAGGCACTCCTCTTCCCCACTATGAGACATCTGATGCAGACCTAGTTGTGATTTCCAGCTGAAAGCTTTTTCAGTCCCTGGCTTTATAGAGTTTTTCTCCACTATGAGTTTTCTGGTGTTTAATGAGATTTGACCTGTCATTGAAGGCTTTCTGACATTCTGTACAAGCATAGGGTTTCTTTCCTGTGTGAATTATTTGATGCATACTTAGTGTTGCTTTCTGGATGAAAGCTTTCCCACATTTACTGCATTCATAGTGTCTCTCTCCAGTATGAGATTTCTGATGGATAGTGAGGCGTGACTTCCAAGTGAAGGTTTTTCCGCAGTCACTGCATTTATAGGGTTTCTCTCTAGTATGGATTTTCTGATGTGTTATGAGATTTGACCTGTCAGTGAATGCCTTTCCACATTCAGCACATATATTGGGTTTCTCGCCCGTGTGAATTTTCTGATGCACACGGAGTTGTGACTTCTTAGTGAAGCATTTCCCACAGTCACTGCATTCATAAGGCTTCTCTCCAGTATGGATTCTATGATGTGCAATGAAGTGTGATTTCTGGATGAAGGCCTTCCCACATTCAGGACAAACATAGGGTTTCTCTCCTGTATGGATTCTCTGATGTACACTTAGTGTTGATTTCTGGATAAAGGCTTTTCCACATTCATTGCATTCATAGTGTCTCTCTCCAATATGAGATTTCTGATGTATTTTGAGGCGTGACTTCCATATGAAGGCTTTTCCACAGCCATTGCATTTATAGGGTTTCTCTCCAGTATGAGTTTTCTGGTGTTTAATGAGGTTTGACTGATCACTGAAAGCCTTCCCACATTCAGCACACATATAGGGTTTTTCTCCAGTATGAGTTTTCTGATGCGTAGTGAGATTTGTCCTATGAGTGAAGACCTTTCCACATTCTGTACATATATAGGGTTTTTCTCCTGTGTGAATTCTTTGATGCACATGGAGTTGTGACTTCTTAGTGAATGATTTCCCACAGTCACTGCATTCATAAGGTTTTTCTCCAGTATGAATTCTCTGATGTGTATTGAAATGTGATTTCTGGATGAAGGCCTTCCCACATTCAGTGCATACATAGGGTTTCTCTCCTGTGTGAATTCTCTGATGCATCCTGAGTGCTGATTTTCTTGTGAAGGCTTTCCCACATTCACTGCATGCATAGTGTTTCTCTCCGGTATGAGTTTTCTGATGTATATTGAGGTCTGAATTCTGGGAGAAACCTCTTCCACATTCGCTGCATTCATAAGGTTTTTCTCCTGTATGAATTCTCATATGTCTAAAGAGATATGATCTGTGGAAAAAAGCTTTTCCGCATTCACTGCATTTATAAGGTTTCTGCCCAGTATGAATTTTCTGGTGTGTAATGAGGTTTGACTTGAGAGTAAAGACCTTCCCACACTGAGTACATATATAGGGTTTCTCTCCTGTATAAACCCTCTGAGGTACATCAATTGGTGGCTTCTGAAGGAAGACGTTCTCACTTTCAATGCATTCCTGGGATTTTTCTCTAGCATGGAGTTTCTGATGCTCAAAGAGATGTGACTTCTGAGTGAAGCTCTTTACACATTCAGTACATACATAAAGTTTCTCCCCAGTAGGAATTTTCTGATGGTGGATGAGAATTTGATTGTGGCCAATATGTTTTTCACATTGATTTTGTTCACAGGAATTTGCTCCTGTATTAGCATTCTCATTCTTAGCAGAGGAAGAGCTATGGGAAAAATTGCTACCATTTCCAAAAATCTTGTCAAAGTTCTTTGTTGCATTGCTTTTATTATGATTATGTAAGTTTAAAGTATGCTTCAAACTCTTTCCAAATGTGTCACAGTTATGGAGCCTTTTAATTGAAGGGACAAGCTTGGTTCTCACATGAATTATTTTTTCAATGTTTTTACGTTCATAGCCCCTCTCCTTAATCAATACTTTCACATCACTTATAGGGTTATTTTGTTTTTCTTGATATCTCTCTAGCTGGTCATTATCTTGCCACAATTCTTCTAAAATAGAACACAATGAATCGTCTCCTATGGATTGACCAAATTTCTCACAGTGGAATGAAACTTCTCCAGAAATTCTCTGTTGTTGGGTTTGCCCAATATCATCATCTGAAAAGAAAAAAGAAAAAAGACTCAAGGGACAATTAGGAGAGGATAGAGGGTACATGTAGTTTAGACAGGATGAACACAGAGAAATGGAAGAGTCCATATGACAATAATGAAAATAGTAATACAAATTCCTTCTAGATACTTATATATACAAAACAATCATACACCATTTATGATGCACCAGGCACTGTTCCAAGTGCTTTGCACAAATTAGCTCATTTAATCCTCGTTAAACCCTAAGAGGTAGCTGCTATTATCAATCGTGTTTCACGGATGAGAAAATAGAAGCATAGAGAAGTTATGTAACTTATTGAAGATCAAATAGCTAAAAAAGTGAGAGAGATGGGATTTGAACCCTGGGAATCCATATCCACTATGTAGGAGGTCTGGATAGTGGTAGAGTTACCAGAAGAAGAAACTGAAGTCTGTTAAGGGGAAGCCTGGTGTGAAGAAATATTTCCGATTGCATGTCCTTATTGCGTTATCAGCTTTAAAACTTTACTAATCTCTCTGCTTCCTCTTGCTTTTCCCTCTGAACCATTATGAACATCAACATTAAATTTATATGCCTCAGACTCTAATGCCTCTATATCTACAGGACAAACTGTTGCAACATCAGCCATCCTGACAAAGACAAACAGTACATAGCTATCTGTGCTCCAGCTCTATAGCCAGCTGCAAGTTTTCCTTTGTCCCAGGAATATATACTTTACACAGCATCAACCAAGAAAAGAAAGGCCATCTATTGCAGAAACTGCAAGCCATCCACCAAAATCTATTTGCCTCTTCTTTTATAGTAATAGAATGCAGCTGGGCGTTACATTTACCAGCCTCACTTTGTCCTCACCAATGAAGTATGAGCAGAAGTGATCTGTGCCACTTCTAGGCCAGGCCTTAAGACAGTGGGCTAAATCTCCTCTATTCCCCCTTCCCCCTGCCCAGTGGACTCAACAATGACCCAACATCAACCATACAGCTGACAACAATGCCCTAGGAGATGGGAGAGCAATGACTTGGAACAAAGTCCCTGAATGACCCATCAGGATCAGAGCTGACTTGTTGAATGGACCCATTCACCTCAGAATTCTTACATAAGAGAGGATATACATTTATATTAAGCTTGTTGTTTTGCTCCTCTATGCATATTCAAAATGTATTGTCCTTGATATCAGCTCCAATTTCAGTGTACTTTTAGGGAGATTATATCTGCTACGAATTTATAAAGCAGGCATGATACCACTCATATTGATATTCAATTTGGCACAATTTTGTGTTAGAAAGAATTAATAGACAAAGCCTGAAACTATTAACATTTCATGCAGTTGTCTCCCCTTTCCAAATATAATCTATGGTCCTTTGAATTCCTCTGAGCAAACACTAGAAAAATCCTTGTGAAGAGAGCAAAATCTCCTCTTCTGTCTATCTCCCCAAATTCAATAAATTTAAGTTTACTAAATATTTTCCATGATTTGCTTGAGAAAACTGAAGAATAAATGTCCCAGTTATCAATTTATTGCTTCCCAACTCCAAATTCATCCTTCCTTGCCTGCTCTTCAAAAATGGATCTGAGTCTCTTTAAATATGTCTTTTCCTTTGCCATCTGGTAATGTTAAGCCTTGTCAGTATGAGGCAATGGAGAAACACTGCAGAAGGAAGGGGTTTTGCTTCTTAGTTCTAGGGAGCTCACTCAGCAGGTTCCTCCAACAAGGACAGTTTGTCTAGCACCAGGCTCCTGCAGTGTGGGTGGCTTCACAAACATCTGGCTCCTGATGTACCTCCTGAAGCTCCACATGCAGCTTCCCAGGCACCCAGGTCTGCAGTGTGGATGACTGCTCTAGACCTCAGCTCCTGCAGTGCAGATGGCTTCCCAAGCACCCAGCTCCTGCAGCACTAGTAGCTTCTCCAGCTCCAGGCTCCTGCAGGGCATTGCAGCGAGCAGCACCTAGTACCCAGAAGTTTCCCCTGGCACCCCTCTCAGGTGATTTGTAGCAGAATACCTCCAATGAGACACTTCCCCAAGATCAGCTTTCTCTGGAACCCCAGAGGGTAGAGTTCCAGCAAGTTTCACCAAAGCAGCACCACAGCAACTCTTCTGCAATGCTGTGAGCCATGGCTGCGCCCCCCTAACAAGGTCTTGATCCATCCCCGGGAAGCAGGGCAGGTTCTTCCTTGGGTGCTCTGTCACAGCCCTAGAGGCACTGGCTGTTCCTTTAGCCTGCTATTCCGTTATTCTTTAGAGTTCTCTTCACTATTACTAGCCAAGTTCTTGTCACTGCAATCTCATTATAGATAATAATTCCTTATGTTAAACTTTCCCTGTTCAAATTAGTATGTAGTTTCTCTCTCCTGATCAGATGCCAAGTTATACATAAGAAACAGGCTCTTAATTCTGGGAACTTTCTAAAATTGTAGAGGTAAGAGCCTCAGTTATGACACAGTCTAAAATTCTGTGCTTTTCTCTGAGTTCCTGGGGGATAGAGGATGAGAAAAAGGAAAAGAGTCATATATGTGGGAGTAATTAAGAGCCATTTCATGGAGCAGTGAAATCTGATCACAAGGTGAAAATGTAGCATCTGAATAGACAGAGCACAGAGTAATGATCAGAGTCAGGGAACACTATCAAATATGGTAGACACCAAGAAAAATGTTAAAAATGCACAGCAAAAGAACAATCAACAAAATGAAAAAGCAACCTACTGAGTGGGAGAAGATATTTGGAAATCATATATCTGATAAGGAGTTAATATCCAAAATATATAAAGAACTTATAGGGCCAACCCCAGTGGCCTAGTGGTTAAGTTCGGCATGTTCCACTTCAGTGGCCGGGGTTTGGTTCCTGGGCACAGACCTACACTGCTTGTCAGTGGCCATGTTGTGGCGGCGGCTCACACACAAAAATAGGAAGATTGGCAACACATGTTAGCTCAGGACGAATATTCCTCAGCAAAAAAACTTATACATCTCAGTAGTAAAGAAACAAACCAATTAAAAAATGGACAGAGGACTTGAATAGATAGTTTTCCAAAGAAAACATACAGATGGTCAACAGGTACATGAAAACGTTCTGGACATCACTAATCATCAGAAAATGCAAGTCAAAACCACAATGAGATATTGCCTCACCTCTGTTACAATGGCCATCATCAAAAAGACAAGAGATAACAAGAGTTGATGAGGATGTGGAGAAAAGAGAACATTTGTGCACTGTTAGTGGCAATGTAAACTGGTACAGCCACTATGGAAAACAGTATGGAGGTTCCTCAAAGGATTAAAAATGGAAATACCATATGATCCAGCTATCCTACTTCTGGGTATTTATCCAAAGGAATGGAAATCAGGATCTCATAGCGATATCTGCACTCCCACGTTCATAGCAACATTACTCACAATAGCCCAGATTTGGGAACAACCTAAGTGTTTGTTAAAGTTAAATGGATAAAGAAGATGTGGTATATATACACAATGGAATATTATTCAGCCATGAGAAAGAAGGACATCATGCCACAACTTGGCTGAACCTTGAGGGCATTATGCTAAGTGAAATAAGTCAGAGAAAGACAAATACTGTATGGTATTATCACTTGTATGTGGAATCTAAAAAAGTCAAACTTGAAGAAACAGAGCAGAGTGGTGGTTACCCAGGGTTGGAAGTGGGGGAAATGGAAAGATGTTGGTCAAAGGAGTGTACAAACTTCCAGTTATAAGATGAACAAGTTCTGGGGATCTAAGGTACAGCATGGCAATTCTAGTTAATGATACAGTATACTACTAAGAGAGTAGATCTTAAATGTTTTCACCACAAAAAAGAAATGGTAACTATGTGACAGGATGTAGGTGGTAGCTGATGCCATGGTGGGCATCATTTTGCAACACATAAATGTACCAAATCAACAGGTGGTACACCTCAAACTCACACATGTTATATTTCAATTATATCTCAATACAGCTGGGGAAAATAGTGTACAATATGGTATATTTAGGAATAAATCTGACAAAAGATGCACAAGACCTATACACTGAAAGGTAGAAAACATCGCTGGAAGAAATTAAAGAAGACCTAAATAAATAGAGGTAAATTACTTATTCATGAATTGAAAGACTCAATAATGTTAAGATATCAATTCTCGCCGAACTGATTCAATGTAATCCCAATCAACATTCACTTCTGTAGAAGCTGAAAAACTGATTTTAAAATTCATATGGATATACAAAGGACTTAGAATATCCAAGACAATTTGAAAGAGAAGAACAAAGTTGGAGGACTAACACTACATGATTTTAAATTTACTACAAGGCTACAATCAAGACAGTGTGAGAATGGTGTAAAGATGGATGAACAGATCAGTGGAACAGAATGAAGAGTCCAGAAAGAGACTCACACACGTATGACAACTGATTCTCAATAAAGGTACAAGAGCAATTCAGTTGAGAAAGGATAGTTTTTAAAATAAATAATGCTGGAATGACTGGAGAGTCATGTGAAAAAAAATTAAATTTGATCTATACCTTAAATCACATACAAAAGTTAATGCAAAATGTATCACACAACTAAATATAAAACCTAAATATTTTGTGACCTTGGATTAGGTAAAGATTTCTTAGCTACAACACCAAAAGCACACTCCATAAAAGAAGAAAAAAGATAAATTGGACTTTATTAAAATTTAAGACTTCTCATGAGAGACACTGATAAGAAAATAAAAAGAAAAAAATTGTAATACACTTATCTGATAAATAACTTGTGTCCAGAATACATAAAGAACTTTCAAAACTCAATAATAAGAAAACAAAGTTCTCTATAGAAAACTGGGCAAAAGATTTGTACAAACACTCCACCAAAGAAGATGGATATATATGGATGTCAAATATTAAATGTTATGGAAATGCTAATTAAAACTACAGTAAAATGCCACTATCCAACTATTAGAATGGCTAAAATTTTTTTAAATGGACTATTCCAAGTGCTGGTGAGGATGTAGATCAACTGGAACTCTCATACATAGCTGGTTAGAACGTAGAATGGTACAGCCACCTTGGAAAACAGTTTGGTGGTTTCCAGTAAAGTTAAACATACACTTAACATACAACCCAGCAATCTCACTCCTGGATATTTACGTTAGAGAAGTGAAATCTTATCATCACACCAAATCTGTAAACAGATGTTTACAGTGCCTTTATTCATAATCACCAAACTGGAAACCATCCAACTCATGAATGGATAAACAAACTATGGTAAATCCACACTGTGGAATACTACTCAGCAATAAAAAAGAACAAACTATGGAAACACACAACAGTATGAATGAGTTTTGAATGCATTATGTGAAAGAAGCCAGGCTCAAAAAGCTTTGTACTGTATGATTCCATTTATATGACATTCTGGAAAGGCAAAACTATAGAGACAGAAGAGAGATCAGTAGTTTCCAGGGCTGGAAGTAGGAAAGAGTGACAACAAAGGGGCTTGAGGTAATTTTTTGTTCTATATCTTGATTATGGTGTGGTTACATGACTGGGGTGTGTTTGTCAAAACTCATGGATTATTAATATAAATAAACCTCATAGAATTATTAAAAATGTTAAAAATGGAGTTGAGCAGAGGTTATAGAATATATATAGATATGAGTTTGAACTGGAAATATGTGGCCATGTTGTTTGTCTCCTTGAAAGAAGAGTTTGATTGTCCCATACTAGGTAATGAGGAGTAATTGTAGGTTTATTTCATAAAGCTCATGGCAAGATAAATGGAATGTTTAGGTAATGAAATCTGTCATTAGCATTTAAAGTGAACTAATAAAAAGAATGGAATCAGCAAATCTAATCAGGAATAGAATAATCACAATCCAGGCATAAAAGAATATGGAGCTGGTTTTGGGTGATACTACCGGGAACTGAGAAGATGAACTCAGAACTGAAAATGATATTTGCAAAAATGGAAAAGCAGTAGGAACTGTGGAGTGATTACTAAAAGAATGACCAAAAGAATTAAGAAACACTGACAGAATGTGACAAAATTTGGAAGATGAGGTTTCTGATATGTGAGGTGATGATTCCAATTTCGGATGTATAGTCATGCGCCACATAACGTTATGGTCAATGACAGGCTGCATATAGGATGGTGGTCCCCTAAGATTAGTACCATCTTGCCTAGGTGTGCAGTAGGCTATACCATCTAGGTTTTTGTAAGTACCGTAGAGGAGGAAGAAATTTTCCTCTACCCTTCCAGGTTCTTCCAGCTGGTCTAAGCATTAAACTGACATGAGACAGAGTAACAGGAGAAAAAGAAACAAAAGTTTAATAACATGTGTACATGGGAGAAACCCAGGAAAACTGAGTAACTCGCTAAAATGGCTGAAGCCCGCGCCTTAAATACCATCCTCAGCTAAAGACAAAAAGAAGATGCTGGGGGTGGGGACAGTCAGGGACTTTAAATGGAAGGAAGGCAATTCACAGGTAGATGAAAGGGAGCAAACCTTTGGAAAAGAAGTGGCCACAAAGAAACAGAAGGACACAGAAGGGAGCCCAACCAACAGGCTTTTCTAGGTTTCTCCCGGTCTACCACCTAGTTCCTACTACGCTAAGGTGATAGCTCGCATCCTGAGACAGGTTTTTTAATCTGAATTCTTTAGTTAGTTAAGGGAGAGGTAACAAGGAAAACTTTCTGAGTCTTTTGTTTCTCAAAGATAATCAGCTTAAAATAATCCTCATGTTAAGGAGACACATTTTGGCATTTTGGGGTGGCAAATTTCGTTCCTCTTCAGTACACTTTATGATGTTTGCACAATGACGAAATCGCCTAACAACACATTTCAAGGAATGTATTGCCCTTGTTAAATGATGCATGACTATACAGAGGATCAAGAGAAACATCTCCTGGCAACTTTCCAAGTAGCTAAATTTAGTACTAAAGTACCAGTGAAAAACAGACACTAGAGATGTCAAAAGCAGAGTCATCAGAATTTCAGTATGGATGAATCCTTGCATGTATATGAAGCACAGACTGGTGAATAGTAGACAGGGTCCCTAGGGCAACCTCATTTATGGAGATAAGACTGGAAAAAAGGGCAAATAATAAATTGAATGCAAATCAGTAAGAAACAGACAGGAAACTCGGTGAAACAAGGGTAACATGTATAAGGTCACTCATAGGAGGGAAATTTAAAGAGATCACAACAGGTCAGTAATTAAATGCTCAAATTAGGTATTGGAGAAATGCAAAATAGAAAATGAGATATCACTTTATACCCATTGTTGGGCAAAAAAATGAGAAACTTTGGTACTACTAATTGTTGGCAGAAACTCTAGGAAAGCTAGAACCCTTGTGCACTATTGCTGGGAGTATAGATTAGTGCAGCCAAGCTGAGGATAATATGGTGGGGCTCCGTCAAAGTCAGGATGAGAATACACAATGATCTGGCAAGCCCTGTCTTCTACATACATCCCTGAGAAATTCTCACACTCCAAAAGGGAACACTGATGTAGAAATTTACTGTAGAGTTGTTTGTATTAGCTGGGAGTTAAGAACAGCCCTAGGTTCCACCACTGGGTGAATGGTTAAGTTAGATGTGGTACCAGCATGCTGTGGAATGCTGTGCAGCAATTTGAAGGAATGAAGCCAGATGAACACACCACAATATAGACAGATTTTAGGGATGTGTGAAAAAAGGGAACAAAATTAAGACATGTAGCACGATATAATTTATATATAATAAAAATACATACTCACAGCCAATACTTCAGGCTCTAAGAGAATACTACACAAATTCAAAGTTCAAACACATTAGATCAGTTGCCCATGGGACTGGATACAGAGAATGGATAAAAAAGGAATAAAGAATGGATATGGGGAATGGAATAAAAAGGAAGAAAATTTTAAATACCAGAATGTACAAGGAATCTAAGATAAGGGATGTGGGAGAGGAGTAGGAAGAATAAAAAGGTCCTAGATAAGATGGGGTGGTATGTTGTGATTCAGGCTACAGAGATTAGAGAAAGCTCTCCTGCCAAAAAGCCAAGCAAAGAAGACAATAGATGTGGCAATGGTCATACTTGGAGATGGCATTTAGGTATCTGAGGGGCTTCTGTCAGCTCTCTCCAATTAACTCCGAAAGTTTAGAACCTTCAAGACAGGTTATCTTCAGAGCCTTTCAGAGGTATCAGCCTCTCCTAGAAAAAGTCAGATTTACTTCCATGTCCCCCATCTTCCCAGGTCACACTCACTCACCTGAACAGCTCTGATGTGGGGCTTCTCCCTCTAACATCCATGGCCCCTCTCCTTGCTCCAACTTGAAGATGACCTCTGGTTTCGGAACTTGGTACCCTGTTAACAGGACATGATACAGGATTGGGTCCAGCTAATTGGGTTTCGGGGGCCTCTCAATGATACTTCCATTTGCTCTTCAGAAAAGTAATCACATTTCACTGGGAAGAGAGCAATAATCATAGTGCTGAAAAGGGACTGAAAAATCTCAGACCAAGCAAGGAGGACACCATTGCACACTCCAGACGTGCCAGAGCACTCGGCAGCTGAGGAGGGAAATACCTCACTGAGGCCCCTGGCAGACACATAGGGCGGCTGTGCTTACCCACTGAGCACAGGTGGCTGTAGTTCTCCAGTGTCACATCCCGGTACAGTCGTCTCTGAGCAGGGTCCAAGTGCTGCCACTCCTCCCTGCTGAAGTCCACAGTCACATCCTCAAAAGACACTGAGACCTGTAACAACACAATCCTGTTCAAGGTGACACGGTCAGCACTGTGGGGTAGAGGGAAGATAAATGGGAAGTTGTTTTTAATGACTTTTACCATAATGTATCATGTAGGATTTTCACTCAGTACTCAGCTTTGTATTTTATTTTGTGAGAGAAAAAAACTCATTGAAGGATCGTGACATCCATTGTGTACTACATTCATTCAGTCAGTTATTTAGTCATTCTTTTTTAAAAAATGGGGGTTAACATAGGCTCTATTTAAGTTCTCTAGTTAATGTAGAAACAACATACAATACATTTACAGATTGGTTATGTGCCAGGCAATGGCAATATGGAATTGACTAAAATATAAAACAACTTAAAGACTTGGACACCCAACATAGGAAGACACAAAGGGGGCTAAGAGGCATTTGGAAGAACATACGGGGAGAAAGGCAAAACAATAAAGCCTTTAAAAGATATTAAAGAAAAAAATATAGGCGAATATCTTGATGATCTTGGATAGGGAAAATAATTCTCAAACGGAATGCTAAAAATATTAACTATTAAGAAAAAGATTGATAAGTCTGTCTGCAATAAAGTTTAAAACTTCTGTTCATTTCAAAAACAGCATTATAAGAGAAAAAAGGAAAGCCACAGAATGGAAGATATCTGCAATACACGTTACTGACAAAGGGCTCACATCCAGAGGATGTAAAGTACTCTTACAAATCAATAAGAAGAAAAAGAGACCACCTACTAGAAAAGTGGGCAAAGGATTTGAACAGGCATTTTACAACAGAGGAAATCCAAGGCGTCAATAAACACGTAAGGGCTTACACTCCTTAGAAACCAGAGAACGCAAATTCAAACCACAATGAGATACCACTACACAGCCCCTAGAACATCTTCAATGAAAAAGACTGACAATACAAAGTGTTGAAGAGAACATGGTGCAACGAGAACTCTCATATTGCTGATGGCGGTGTATGTGGGTACCACCATGTTGGAAAGCATTTTTGCTTTAACTGGTGATGTTGAAGCATGCATGCACCAGGACACAGTGCTTCCATTCATGGAAAGGCGTCCAACTGGAATATGTGCACATGTGTAACAGGAGGCATGTTCAAGAATATTTATAGCAGCATTATTCAAAATGTGTGTAAGAGTTCATGATAAAATAATTAAAAATAAATAGTAATTTTTTAAAAAATCAGTGTTCAACATAACAGTATCTACTATCTTTGTGGAAAATATTAAGGATTTTTTTTAGTTGCTTTATTTGCATAATCTCTAAGCATATGCCCCACCCACCTACCCACCCACAAACTAATCAAGACTAGTTTTCTGGCGAGGGAGATCTGGGGAGCCGGGGAGAGAACCGTGTGAATGTATTCCCTATTCAAAAACTTAAGTTAAAAATTACCAATGGGACCAAAATGGAATAGACATAGTTCTTATTTTTCCTGCTAAGTATAGCTAAAACCCCTGGATATTATATATAAAACAAAGAGAAGACAACGCTGTCAGCTGGAGAGAAGGAGGCGAACTGGCTAGGGACCTCGGAACCTGAAGAAGGAGAGAGCAGTGATTTCCCTAAGCTTTCCTTTTGCCCCATATATCTTAGACCGGGTGCTGGAGAAGCTGGCAACCCAGAATGCCAACTGGTGCAAGCAAAAACAGCCCCAAGAAAGCCTGCTCTTTCTAGCCAAAGTACCAGGAAAGGGGCGACGTAGCAAGAGAGAAAATTTTAAATTACTGCCCTACTTAAGCCAAGCATGGCAGAAAAAACTGTAGCCCTCACCGCTGTTCCCATCAGCAGAGGCTGAGGGGTGGGCCTAGATTTTCATCCCTGCCTGGGGGGAATGAGGCCCCTCCCCTCCAGTGTCAGTTTAAGCTATGTGGGGATCTTGGACTTCCACCCCCACCCAGTCAGGAGGCACCCTTCTGCCTCCCCACCAGCGTGGTGCCAGAGGCAGTCTGGTGGGGAGCCTGAAGTTCCACCCTGACCCAGCAGCCACAAGGTGCTCATCCCCCTCTGGGGTGTCAAAGGAGGCCAAGCAGGGAGCCTGAAATTCCGCCTCCACCTGGCAGTAAGGAGGAGAGTCTCCTTTCTAGTAGAACAGTGTTGGAGGAGGCCTGCTAAACACAAGATTTAAATAACATCCAGAGTCTCATAGTTCCCCAAATATCCAGCACATAATTGAAAATGAGGCATCATGCAAAGAAGCAGGAAAATCTCAACTGGAAGGAGAAAAGACAATCCACAAACACCAACACCAAGATGACAGTGATGTTGGGAGTATCTGACAAGAATTTTAAAGCAGCCACCATAAAAATGCTTCAATATATTTAAAAGAAATGCAAAAACAGAAAGTCTCAGCAAAGAAATAGAAGATCTAAAGAAGAACCAGATGGAAATTTTAGAACTGAAAAGTACAATAACCCAAATTTTAAAACTCAATGGATGGGGTCAACCCCAGAATAGAGAGGACAGAGGAAAGAATCAGAGAACTTGACGATAGAAAAGTAGAAATGATCCAGTTTGAACAACAGAAAGAAAATTGAAAAAAAAAATGAGCAGAGACTCAGGGACCTGTGAGACTATAACATTCGTGTTATAGAGACTATAACTCTGGCATTCGTGTCACCAGAGTCCCAGAAGGAGAGACGAAAGTGTGGGACTGAAAAAGTATTTGAAGAAATTATGGCTGGAAATTTCTCAAATTTGGCAGAAAAGATCAACCTAGAGATACAAGAAGCTGAGCAGACCTCAAAAGGACAAACCAAAGAAATCTACACCAAGGCACATTATAATCAAACTTGAGAAAACTAAAGACAAAGAAAAAAAATCTCGAAATTAGCAAGAGAGAAACGACACCTTACCTATAGGAGAAAAACAAAGTGACAGTGGATTTCTCATCAGAAATCATGGGGAAGAGAAGGAAGTGGCACGACATTTTTCAAGTGCTGAAAGAAAAGAACTATCAACCCTGAATTCCATATATGGCAAAATTATCCTTAAGAAATGAAGTGGTCTGGCCAATAAATACATGAAAAGATGCCTGACATTGTTAATTATCAGGGAAATGCAAATCAAAGTGAAGTATCTACAATGAGATACTACCTCACACCCACTAGGATGGCTAGAATCAAAAAGTCAGATAATAACAAGTGTTGGTGAGGACGTGGAGAAACTGGAAACTGTCATACAGTACTGGTGGGAATGTAAAATAGTGCGGCTGCTTTGGAAAACAACCTGGCAGTTCCTTAAATAATTAAACATGCAGTTACCATTTGACCCAGCAATTCCACTCCTGGATGTATGTATAATCAAGATCAATGAAAAGATATGTCCACAGAAAAACGTGTACACAAACGTTTATAGCAGCATTACTCATAATAGCCCAAAGGTGGCAACAACCCAAATGTACATCAGCTGACCAATGGATAAACAAAATGTAATATGTCTGCACAATGGAATATTATTCAGCCATAAAAAGAAATGAAATACTGATGCAAGCCACAACATGGCTATCTATCTGCCTATCTATGTACCTGGCTACCTGTCATACGGACTGGTGACTTCCTACTTTATTCAGTGGGTTATAATATATTACTATCATTATTTATTTTGCTACTCAAATTGTCCCAGATTTAGCTGGAGGGAGCTCCTTGAAAACATTATGCTGAGTGAAAAAAGGCAAACACAAAGACCACATATGGTGATTCCATTCATGTGAAGTGTCCAGACAGTGTGTTAGTGGTTGCTTCCAGTTGGGGGGGGCAGGGCGGTGGGGAGGGGGGATGTGGTGCTTAAAGGGTGTGGGGTTTCTTTCTGGGGTGATGAAAATGTTCTAAAATTGACTGTGGTGATGGTTGCACATATCCATAAATATACAAAAAACTATTGAATTGTACACTTTAAATGGGTAAATTGTATGGTGTGTGAATTCTATCTCAATAAAGCTGTTATTAAGAAAGAAGAAATGAAGGGGCAATCAAGCTATTCTCAGATGAAGGAAAACTGAAAAACTTTGTTGCCAGCAGGCCTATCCTAAAAGAATGACTAAAGGAAGTTCTCTAGACAGAAAGGAGATGATAAAAGAAGGAATCTTGGAACATCGGGAAAGAAGAAAAAATGGAAAGAGCAAAAATATAGGTAAATACAATAGACTCTCTTTCTCCTCCTGAGTTTTCTATGTTATGTTTGAAGGTCAAAGCAAGACATATAACATCGTCTGATGTGGCTCTCCATGTACTGGGCTCTAGTGTGCGGGATGTAACCACTGGGGGAAGCTGGGTAAAGGGTGACATGAGACCCCTCTGTACCATCTTTGCAACTGCCTGTAAATCTATAGTTATTTCAAAATAAAAAGTTTTAACAACCTACATTATTATCCTCAGAAAGACTGGAGTAGTGGACAAACCAAAAAAGGATGCTATTAAAAAGGAGCATTCACTTCTTCCCTATCTGCAGCCTACATACCTACCTACCTATCATACGGACCGGTGACTTCCTACTTTATTCAGTGGGTAACAATCTGTTACTATCGTTATTTATTTTGCTACTCAAATTGTTCCGGATTTGGCCAGAGGGAGCTCCTTCAAGGTGGCTCCTGTGTCCTTTTTTTTCCCTTTTTTAAAGATTGGCACCTGAGCTAACATCTGTTGCCAATCTTCTTTTTTTTTTTTCTTCTTCTCCCCAAAGCCCCCCAGTACATAGTTGTATATTCTAGTTGTGGGTCCTTCTAGCTGTGGCATTTGGGACGCCGCCTCAGTGTGGCTTGATGAGCGGTGCCACGTCCGCACCCAGGATCTGAACCAGCAAAACCCTGGGCCGCCAAAGCAGAGGGCATGAACTTAACCACTCAGCCACGGGGCCAGCCCCTCCTGTGTCCTTTTGACATGTCCCCATCTTGTGAGCACTTTGTTCCTTTCCAGGATCACTTCATACTTTCTCTGTTCTAACCCTGGAGTCAGTCATTTCTCCAAGAAGCTCTAGTTCCCATTAGTGACAAATGG